ATACACTAAACTGTGGTCTAGTCAATAGACTAAACATTAGACTGTGGTCTAGTCAATAGACGAGACTTTGTTCTAGTCAGTAGACGAGAATGTAGTCTAGTCAATAGACTAAACTCCAGTCTAGTCAATAGACTAAACTCCAGTCTAGTCAATAGAGTAAACTGTTGTCTAGTCAATGGACTAGACTGATCAATAGATCAGACTATGGTCTAGTAAATAGACTAGATTGTGGTCTAATCATTGGGCTAGACTGTGGTCTAGACTAGACTGGACTAGACTATGGTGTAGTCAATAGACGAGACTGTGGTCTCGTCAATAGACCAGACAATAGTCTAGTCAACAGACTAATAATTGTGGTCTAGTCATTGGCCTAGACTATAGTCTAGTCAATAGACTAAACAATAGGCAATAGACTAGACAACAGTCAATGGACTAGACTCATCAATAGACCATACTATGGTTTAATACATAGACTAAACTGTAGTCTAGTCAATAGACTAAACAATAGGCAATAGACTAGACAACAGTCAATGGACTAGACTCATCAATAGACCATACTATGGTTTAATACATAGACTAAACTGTAGTCTAGTCAATAGACTAAACAATAGGCAATAGACTAGACAACAGTCAATGGACTAGACTCATCAATAGACCATACTATGGTTTAATACATAGACTAGATTGTGGCCTAGTCATTCTACTAGACTGTGGTGTGGTCAATAGACGAGACTGTGGTCTAGTCAATAGACTAAACTGCGATCTAGTCAATACACTGTAGACGAGAACTAGATTTTGGTCTAGACAATAGATTAAATAGCGGTTTAGTCAATAGACGAGACTGTGGTCTAGTCCATGGACTAGATAGTGATCTAGACAATAGACTAAACAGCAGTCTAGTCAATACACTAAACTGTGGTCTAGTCAATAGAATAGATTGTGGTCTAGTCAATAGGCTAAACATTAGACTGTGGTCAAGTCAATAGACGAGACTGTGGTCAAGTCAATAGACGAGACTGTGGTCTAGCCAATAGGCGAGACTGTGTTCTAGTCAATAGACTAGGCTGTGATCTAGGCAATAGACTAGACTTTGTTCAATTCAATAGGCGAGACTGTGGTCTAGTCCATAGACTAAACTACAGTCTAGTCAATAGACTAAACTACAGTCTAGTCGTTAGAGTATACTGCTGTCTAGTCATCAATAGACCAGACTATGGTCTATTCAATAGACTAGATTGTGGTTTATTTAATAGACTAGATTGTGATCTAGTCATTGGACTAGACTGTAGTGTAGTCAATAGACGAGACTGTGGTCTAGTCAATAGACGAGACTATGGTCTAGTACATAGACTAAACTAAACTACAGTCTAGTCAATAGATTAAACTACAGTCTAGTCAATAGACTAAACTATAGTCTAGTCAATAGACTAGACTGAGATGTAGTCAATAGACGAGACTGTAGTATAGTCAATAGACAAGACTGTGGTCTAGTCAAACTAAACTGTTGTCTAGTCAATGGACTCAACAATAGACCAGACTATGGTCTAGTCAATAGACTAGATTGTTCTAGTCAATGGTCTACACTGTGGTCTAGTCAATAGACTAGACAGTGGTCTAGTCAATAGAATAGACACTGGTCTTTATAAACTACACAGATCGCTTCAGCGATCTATTCAATATACATACTAATGTTTGTAACCTTTAACCTCTAATATCTCAAATGACTTTCTGCCACTTATTACAAATTTTTAATGACATTTACTTTTAATTTCATTCATTCGTTGTTTCAATATAATTTCAAACTTTGTAAAATAAAAAAAAAATCCTTTTAAATTTGAATATTCATTTTTAATTAAAGGATTCATGAGACAACGAGAAAAAACTCTTTTTTATATTGCATAAAATATTTGCATATTTTAACTATATATTCTAATTGCTATAAATTTAAAAAAAATACAAACCAATGTTTATAAAAAATGGCGTATTTTTGTGGCAAACATGTTTTTTGGGTTGCAATGACACACATACTCACTTAGAGAAAAAAAATATCCGCTTCAATTGTCAACTTAACAAAAAACAATCATACAAAATACTTAAAAATTTTAAATTTATGGTTTTTATTATTTTTTGGTATGTTGTAGATGCAGCATGGAACCCACAAAATAAATATCCTAAAAAACCAAAAAGTTGTCCTTTTTTTGGGAGGCGTTTGTTGGTGTGTGTTTTTTTAGTCACTCTATTTAACAATTTGTATTTTTTGTTATTGTTATTATTGTTGTTGATGATTTTATATTCCATTTACTGTGTTCAACTTTTTATTTTTTTATATTTTATATTTATTTTGCGGAAAATTTATGAGTGGCATTAGAAAATTAAAATATCTCTTTTTTTGTAGTTGTTGTATTTTTTTTTTTTCGAATATATTTCGTATAAATTTTAGTAAAACAATGACAACATAAACACATTCTTTAACCAGAGTATTTGAGATTATTATTTTATTTTCTTTTTTATTATTATTATTTTGAAACAAGCTACAAAAACAAAAATTTCAAGGTTAAATAAAATGATGCTTTAATAACAAAAATAACAAAAAATTTAAATTTTTACATTAAAATGAAAAAAAAAAGATATTTCAAAAATATAACAACACAATGTTGCATTTGTTTAGTTTTTGTTGTTTTTTTTTTTTTTTTGTGTTTTTCAAAAGAAAAAGTTGTTAGATCCTCTTTATCTCATTGGTTAAAATGATTTATTATTAAGGCATTTAAAATATTTTGTTGCACTTTAGATTGATTAAACAGATGTCTAGATATTTTTTGAGTAATATATCATGTATTTCATTTACGTGAACTAAAAAGTCTTTGGCCTATTTATGAATCATTGTGTAGTTTCATGTGAATGGTGTAGAAACAAAAGCTGCAAACTCCATTTTTTTGTAAACTAAAACTAATGATTTCACCTGGTTTCAGAGTTTTTAAAAATCTAATGACCAATCTATGGTCTAATGTATGAACTAATCAATGGTCTATCTCGTGAGCCAAGTTTATGAACTAGTCAACGAACTCGTCTACGGCCTAGTCTACGAACTAGTATATAACCTAGTATATGGATTAGCCTATGAACTAGACTATTGACTTGTCTAGTCCTTGTCTATGGATCTATAGAGTGGTCTATTTACGAGTCTAATGATTTGACTATTATAAGTCTATAGCCTAGTTTATGAACTAATATATTGACCAATCTATGGACTATTCTTTTAACTAGTCTATGGGATGGTCTATTGATCAGTGTATGGAATAGTCTGTTTACCAGTCTATGGTATATTCACAAGACTGTGGTCAAGTCAATAGACTAGACTGTGGTCTAGTCAATAGACTAGACTAGATCAATATATTAGACTGTGGTCTAGACAATGGACTAGGCGTGGTCTAGTTAATAGAACAGACTGTGGTGTTATCAATAGACTTTGGTCTAATCAATACACTAAACTCCTCAACAAACGAGACTGCCGTCTAGTCAATAGACTTGACTCGCCGATAGACCAGACTAACGTCTAGTCAGTAGACTAAACTGTTTTCTAGTCAATAGACTAGGCTGTGGTCTAGTCAACAGACTAAGCTATGGTCTAGTCAATAGACTAGACTAGACTAGACTGTGGTCTAGTCAATAGACTAGACTGTGGTCTAGTCAATAGACTAGACTGTGGTCTAGTCAATAGACTAGACTGTGGTCTAGTCAATAGACTAGACTGTGGTCTAGTCAATAGACTAGACTGTGGTCTAGTCAATAGCCTAGACTGTGGTCTAGTCAATAGACTAGACTGTGGTCTAGTCAATAGACTAGACTGTGGTCTAGTGAATATACTAGACTGTGGTCTAGTCAATAGACTAGACTGTGGTCTAGCCAATAGACTAGACTGTGGTCTAGTCAATAGACTAAACTGTGGTCTAGTCAATAGACTAGACTGTGGTCTAGTCAATAGACTAAACTATGGTCTAGTCAATAGACGAAACTGTGGTCTAGTCAATAGACTAGACTGTCTAGAGTGTCTAGTCAACTGACTATACTGTCTAGTCAAAAGTCTATTGATCAGTTTATGGAATAGTCTGTTTACCAGTCTATGGTATATTAACCAGTCTATTGATTAGTCTATTGCTTAGTCTATGGACTAGTCTATAGCTTAGTATATTGACTAGTCTATAAACTAGTCTATGGAATATACTACGTTCAGCCCTATTGACTAGTCTTTTGACCAGTCTATGGACTAATCTATGAACTATCCTATAACCTAGTTTGTGAAATAGTCTATGGCCAAGTCTACAAACTAATCTATAATCTAGCCTATGGATAGTAATAGGTCCTAATTTGGTTGTAACCATACTCTTTATATGTGTATTGCCTGGTCTCCTGACCAGTATATCGACCAGTCAATGCAATAGTCTTTGGACTATTCTATTCAAAAGTCTATTGAGTTGTCTATTCACCAGTCTTAGTTAGTCTATGGACTAACTTATAGCCCAGTCTATGGACTAGTCTATTGACCAGTCTATGTACTATACTAAGGACTATCGTACTAAACTAGTCTAGTTGCATAGACTAATCTATGGTCTGGTCCTAGTCTGCTTACCAGTCTATTGACTAGTCTATGTATTAGTCCTTAGACTAGTCAATGGTCTAGTCTAAGACAACTCGACCAAAAAGTATTGAAAAAAGTGCAAAGTATTTCGTAATCAAAGAAATTCAATAAAAATTAATAATTTTTGAAAATCTCTTTTAATTTAAAATTTAATAACATTATACATACGTAAATCCCTAAACATAATTTTTAAAACATATTTTTTTTATTTTTTGCTTTCAACTCTTCCATTGACCAGCAGAAGCATCACATTAAATTTTATTAACAACTTAAAATTTAATTACTTTATAATTAATCTATTAAAGAAAACCAAACGCAAAAACATATAAAAAATACAAGGAAATATAGAAAAACGTTTAATTACCTTTTAACATTATTGATACCGAACACTACGGTTTATGAAGTACAGGTGGTAGGCGAGGCAGTGGCATGCTGTGCCTCAAATAGGCGCAAGTACGTTAAACAACGTACATACGCACCCCACAACGCACAAACTGATGATGACGAAGAGACCGCAAGCAGTACTTTAAGATGGGGAGAGAGAGTGGGTAAGAGAAGCAGCTAAATGATGCTGGTGTTGTTACTGAAGAAGCTGTTAATGCAGCAGCAATAATTTTAATTCCGCTGCTGGTTGTAATTGTTATTGTTAGTTGGTAACTTAAAGCAGCAACAACAACAACTCTTAATAAAACAAACGAAATTTTTATTTATTTTTCTTCTTGTTTTGTTGTTGATCGTGGGGGTGGTGAAAAATAACGATATTTTGTCTGTTTTCTGGTTGTTTGTTTGAAAAATAACAATAATACAGAGGCCGGCTAGAGATGATGATAATGGTTTAGATCAAGCATTACGACATAGACATATAAATTTTATTTAATTTTTTTCTTGTTGCTCTTATTGGATACAAAAAGAAACAAATTTTGAACTAAACCGAGAACAAAAAATTAAAAAAAAAAACGAAAAAAAAAAAAACTTTTTTATGAAAAATTTCGCTCTTGCTTTATGGTGGATTAATTTTTTTATTTTTATTTTGTATTTTTCTTTAATTGAGGGGGCGTTATGGTTTTTTGTTGAAAATTTGTTGTGGCCATTAACACTGTATTCATTTGCTTCTTTTCTTCCAATCTAATGCTAATGCCTCCGATGCCTCTACTGCTGTGGCTGCTTCTACTTCTTATGATTTGGTACATCTATTCCATTTAAATACACACAGGTAACATACATATACATACATACACTTTACAAGATACACTTGAATTCATTATTATTTTTATTTTATTTTCTAGTTCATGTTTCATTTATTCCGTATGTCTTTTTTTTCTCATTTAATGGATTTTTTTAGTTAAATTGTTGTAGTTGTTGCTGTTGTACATTTGTTGTTTTTTTTTCTGTTGTTGAGACTGTAAGAAAATTGGAAAAGAATTTAACATTGAAATAAAATTTTTAAATTGTTTTTTAAAGTTTACAAGAAAAAAATTTCAGAGAGAATTTTTAGCTATAAAGATTAATGGAAATTACTTTATTAGTAAAAGATAAATTTTACTATTTATGTTTAAATAAAAATATTTTTTATGTTCTTTTATTGAATAATAAAGGAATCAAGGTTGTCTGCAGTTATCAATTAAATAGCAAGGTTAAAAAAATGAAAACTGTGATTTATTTATTCCGCCATTAATATTTGTAATCGATTAATCAGTTCTGTTTACTTGATTACTAACTAACTAACTAACTAACTACTAACTAACTAACTAACTAACTAACTAACTAACTACTAACTAACTAACTAACTAACTAACTAACTAACTAACTAACTAACTAACTAACTAACTAACTAACTAACTAACTAACTAACTAACTAACTAACTAACTAACTAACTAACTAACTAACTAACTAACTAACTAACTAACTAACTAACTAACTAACTAACTAACTACTAACTAACTAACTAACTAACTAACTAACTAACTAACTAACTAACTAACTAACTAACTAACTAACTACTAACTAACTAACTAACTAACTAACTAACTAACTAACTAACTAACTAACTAACTAACTAACTAACTAACTAACTAACTAACTAACTAACTAACTAACTAACTAACTAACTAACTAACTAACTAACTACTAACTAACTAACTAACTAACTAACTAACTAACTAACTAACTACTAACTAACTAACTAACTAACTAACTAACTAACTAACTAACTAACTAACTAACTAACTAACTAACTAACTAACTAACTAACTAACTAACTAACTAACTAACTAACTAACTAACTAACTAACTAACTAACTAACTAACTAACTAACTAACTAACTAACTACTAACTAACTAACTAACTAACTAACTAACTAACTAACTACTAACTAACTAACTAACTAACTAACTAACTAACTAACTAACTAACTAACTAACTAACTAACTAACTAACTAACTAACTAACTAACTAACTAACTACTAACTAACTAACTAACTACTAACTAACTAACTAACTAACTAACTAACTAACTAACTAACTAACTAACTAACTAACTAACTAACTAACTAACTAACTAACTAACTAACTAACTAACTAACTAACTAACTAACTAACTAACTAACTAACTAACTAACTAACTACTAACTAACTAACTAACTAACTAACTAACTAACTAACTAACTAACTAACTAACTAACTAACTAACTAACTAACTAACTAACTAACTAACTAACTAACTAACTAACTAACTAACTAACTAACTAACTAACTAACTACTAACTAACTAACTAACTAACTAACTAACTAACTAACTAACTAACTAACTAACTAACTAACTAACTAACTAACTAACTAACTAACTAACTAACTAACTACTAACTAACTAACTAACTAACTAACTAACTAACTAACTAACTAACTAACTAACTAACTAACTAACTAACTAACTAACTAACTAACTAACTAACTAACTAACTAACTAACTAACTAACTAACTAACTAACTAACTAACTAACTAACTAACTAACTACTAACTAACTAACTAACTAACTAACTAACTAACTAACTAACTAACTAACTAACTAACTAACTAACTAACTAACTAACTAACTAACTAACTAACTAACTAACTAACTAACTAACTAACTAACTAACTAACTAACTAACTAACTAACTAACTAACTACTAACTAACTACTAACTAACTAACTAACTAACTAACTACTAACTAACTAACTAACTAACTAACTAACTAACTAACTAACTAACTAACTAACTAACTAACTAACTAACTAACTACTAACTAACTAACTAACTACTAACTAACTAACTAACTAACTAACTAACTAACTAACTAACTAACTAACTACTAACTAACTAACTAACTAACTAACTAACTAAACTAACTAACTAACTAACTAACTAACTAACTAACTAACTAACTAACTAACTAACTAACTAACTAACTAACTAACTAACTAACTAACTAACTAACTAACTAACTAACTAACTAACTAACTAACTAACTAACTAACTACTAACTAACTAACTAACTAACTAACTAACTAACTAACTAACTAACTAACTTAACTACTAACTAACTAACTAACTAACTAAACTAACTAACGAACTAACTAACTAACTACTACTAACTAACTAACTAACTAACTAACTAACTAACTAACTAACTAACTAACTAACTAACTACTAACTAACTAACTAACTAACTAACTAACTAAGTAAGTAACTAACTAACTAACTAACTAGCAAACTGTGTAAACCATAGACTATTCCATAAACTATTCAATACACTAATCAAGAGACTGATGAATGGACCAGTAGACTATTCACCAGTCTATGTCCTAGTTTATGGACTAGTCTATGAAAGTTCATGAACTAGTCTTTATTTATGTGTAGCCTCGTCTTCTGACTAGTTTATTGGATTCTATGAATTACTCTATTCACCAGTCTGTTGACTAGTTAAAGGACTAGTCAACGGACTAGTTAACGGACTAGTCAACAGACTACTCAATACACTGGTGAATAGTCAACTGGTCTATTCACCATTCCACTGATTAATCCATTGGCTAGTTACTAGTTTTTTGACCAGTAGATGGGCCAATCTGTGAATTATCCTCTAGTGCATGAAAAATTCTATGTCCAAGTCTACGGTTATGATAATTTTTGGTTAGAATCCTACTTGTTATCTGACATGTTTTTAAATTAAGTCCTTTCATATTAATCATATTCCCAAAATATTTTTCTTTATCAAAATGGTTTAAATTTCATAACAAAAAATATGTTACCAAATATTAAATCTTTTCAATAACTTGCTTTTTTTTGTAGAATAAATGAAAATATATGTATGTAAATACAAATACAAATCTTTTCTGATTATTAAATAACTTTGGCCATAAATTCCTTCGTTTATATTATCCTAAAACAATAACCATAAATACCTCAAACTATGCAATAAACTAACATTCCTAAGGAAAGCCTAAAAATATACAAACAACAATCGTTCAATTTTTACATAAATTTTTATTAAATGATTTTAATTAAATTTGTGTAAATTTTCTTACAAAACGAAAAAGAAAAAAGTAAAGAATAATTTAATGAATTTTGGGTGTGTGTGTGTGTGTGTGTCTGTTTGTTTGTACGTTACATTAACATTTTACTTTAATTTAAAAATAACAAACTTTTTGTTCTTAAACATTTTCATGATTTTATATTCGTATAATAATAAAAACATAAAATTATAACATTTACAGCTAAAAGAAAAAACAAGAAGAAAACAAATCAATATTTTATACTAAGAGAGAAAAACATGTAAAATACAATATTTGTATGTATTTAAATACATAACGGAGATGTAAAAGTTTGTTATAAATGTACTTTTTGTTTAGGGAGTACTTTTTCCAACTTAAAGCTTATGGCTTTGAAAGTTTTAAAAACAAATAACTGATTTTTCTATGAGAACTTTTGAGTAATATTTACATATTTTTTGGTATGAATTTAGGATTTTGTTCTTCATATTCCTTATAAAAATTTTGTATATTTTACAAATTTTATAAAAAGTAGTATTTCTACTACTATTTTGAAATTGAAATGTAAAAATAGATATCAAATCAATTTTATTTATGCAATAAATTTCTGTTAAACATTTTTAGAATTTTCTACTTTTTGCAAAAAACTACTAAATATTTTAGTACTTCTTGGATAAAATAAATAAATCATAATTTTCTAAAATTTATATACAAATTCCATAAAATATTTCCTATTTTTAACGTATTTTTAAAAAAGTAGTATTTTTACTACTGTTTTTGAATTGGAAATTAGTTCAGATTTCAAATCAACTTTATCTTTACAACAAATTTCTTAAAAATTTAATAAAATTTTTTAAAAATTTTACTTTTTTGAGAAAAGTACTAAATAATTAAGTACTTTTTACCAAGCTTCAACTCAAAACATTATTTTTTTAAAGAACTTATTATTAATAAGGTTAGTCAATACAAAAATGTTCTATATTTAACATACTTTTTAAAAAGTAGTATTTCTACTACTATTTTTGATTTAAAAAATTTGTTTGGATTTCAAATCAACATTATATATACAAACAATTTCAGTTAAATATTTGCACAATTTACTGCTTTTTTCAAAAAAGTACTAAATAATTTAGTACTTTTAACAAATTTCAACTAAAAACAATGTTTTTTTAAAGTTCTTATTCTTAATAATTGTATTCCATACAAAAATTTTCTATATTTAACATATTTTTAAAAAGTAGTATTTCTACTACTATTTTTGAATTGAAAAGTATTAATAAGTACTTCATTAATGCAGTAAATTTCAGTTAAATTTTTTCACAATTTACTACTTTTTTCAGAAAAGTACTAAATAATTAAGTACTTTTTACCAAGCTTCAGCTAGAAACATCGTTTCTTAAAGAACTTATTATTAATAAGCATAGTCCATACAAAAAAGTTCTATATTTAAAATATTTTTAAAAAAGCAGTATTTCTACTACTATTTTTGAATTAAAAAATTTGTATGGATTTCAAATCAACATTATATATACAAACAATTTCAGTTAAATTTTATATTCAATATACTACTTTTTTAAAAAAGGTACTAAAAAATTATAACTCAACTTTATTAATGTAATAAATTTTAGTTAAATTTTTTTACAATTTACTACTTTTTTCAAAAAAGTACTGAATAATTATTTAGTTCTTTTTAACAAACTTCCACAAAAAATTATGTTTTTTTTAAATACATATCCTTAATAATTATATTCCATACACACATTTTCAATATTTAGCACATTTCTTAAAAAGTAGTATTTCTACTACTATTTTTAAATTGAAAATTAAATATGGATTTGCATATAAATTTTAATTAAAATTGCTTAAAAAA